AAAAAAAAACGAAAAAAAAACATAATAAAAGGAAAAATGCTATTGTCACAAAACAGTCAGGTCACTATTATTTTAGTTATTTCTCTCAACGTTAAATAGTGCCGAATATAGAAAATAGGAACAACTTGAAAGTATCGCTGGTATGCAACGGGGAAATTGCTATTAAAAAAAAAAAAGATGGAAAAGCGATTTTTCAGGCAAATTCTTTCTATAAAAAATTTTTTTTGCCCTGTTTTACAACTATCATTTCTTTCAATCTTGAGCATTTCTACGTTAAAGCCGTTTTTAGTGTAATTATGTTTCATTAACGTCCTAAGCTGATTCTCTCCTAGCTGTTTTGTAGCTTATTTCTATTGTCAGTTAATTTGTCGACCAATAAATTCACTGGCATTTACACACTTTAGTGGATCTCTTTTCCCAGCTTACACCGTGAAAACTACAACCTTAATTTCTGCTTCGGTGTTTTCAGAAATGTACAGAGCAACTTCAACATCAAAAGAAAAAATGCAGCTGCAGCAGAGTACAAAGTTAGAAGAGACTTTTCACAGATTCAAAATCTGGGAAATCCAAAATGTCGATGGTACTCAAAACTGCTCCATAATTAATCGTACGTCTTACTGTCCATTTCTGTTTGCCTCAATTGCCAGCCTTTTTCGCCAATTCCGTTTTCTTGAGCTTATTCTATCTATCCCAGTTCCTGTAATCCATCGGGTTCATCAACATCCAGTTCTCAACCAAAATTTCGTTATACACTCCCCTCAGTTGCCAGATAATATTACCCTCAATAGGAGGCTGGTAAATCGGTAGCAACCATTAATGCAGCACCTTATTCGACGGTAAAAAAAAACAGTGGCCACCATAAAATACCTTTTGCATTATTCACAAAAAAACTATTTATATCACTAATTGGTTTAAAGTTTATTTTCTTATTCAGTAAATGAAAAAGACGTTACTTCCTATTTTTCTTTAGTAATTTAAATAAAAGGAATCAAATTTCCACACAAAGGTAAGCAATGTAAACAAATTTAACATTCCATTCAGAACCGATAGTAACCTACTTTAACTTAGTTTGCTATTAATTCTAACCCAAATATGAAGGAAAAACAGTTGTGCGATTTGACGTGGAATTGCCTAATATATATATATATATATATATATATATATATATATATTTATTTATTTGTTTATTTAATATATATATATATATATATATTTTTATATATATATATATATATATATATATATATATATATGTACCTGTCTACTTGCCTACTAGGAATCTAGATACTCATCCAGTTATATACCAGACAAAACTTCTTGGAAAAATGAAAGAAAATAGTCATCTAAAATTTTGAACGTGAAAATTATCCATTCCTTGAATTCAGTTCCTTAAGAATAAGGACTGATTTTTTCTTCCTGTTCGAAAGTCCAAGAAGACTTTTTATTACTTTCCGGCTGCGCCCTTCAGAGCCTCCATGTTTGCTTTCCCCAAAACTCCTGCTAACACTATCGTCACAAAGGCTAGTTCCTCACATACACATACTAACAGCGACCTGTGGTCATCCAGTGCGCTGGGCTGTTACAAAAAGTCAGAAAAAGTGATGGACGGACTTCCGCGTCTAAGGGACAAACAACGGAAAAA